ACACTATCTCGTTGTGCCGTTTGTTGAATTCTTCCCAGTAACTTGCCAACACCTCCCGCTTCTGTTCAACGTAGGCTGGCTTCTTCCTGGATAAGGAGTCCTTTTTTGTGTTGACTAATAACTTTTGAAATGCTTCTGCTAGCTCGTATTGTTTCCTAGTTGCCTTTTCGATGTCCATTATGGTGGCGACCAGGTATGGATTCTAGCTAACGGATTTCTTCTTAGTCAGGCCCAAATAGTTGGATAAGCTTCTGCTTCAGACGTATCTTCTTGTCGCAGTTTTCGTCGCACCGTTGAACCCGGGGATCTCCTCTGACTCGTATAGTTGGTGGGAGTCGATAGGGCTTCCTGGTTTTGTCAATTCGTATACGATGGACCTTGTACTCGAAGATTGCTTTTTCCGTTCTTGGGGCCTGGATTGAAGGGCACTGTTGACTTGACATCCGTATCCGGTTCGAAGGACCAACTGTTAGGCAAAGCCCAACAAGATTTGTAAGGGGTAGGTTTCTTCAGTACTATCGAGACGCAGCCTCACGTCTCGGTGGCAGATAGGCTTGGATATAGTGCGAAGGAGTAAAATAACGATTTAACAATAACGTTGAAGTTTATTGAAATGATAAAATTATGTTACATGATTTTCTATTTATACTATTTTATTATGCTGAATAAACCGATTGACTTTGGTCAGCCCATCATGTGAGTGTTGGAATTTGTTATTCAGCATAATTGGTGTTGAATTTTTCGAAATATCTAGGACAATTAGGTGCAATGACATGTAATCGGTAAATTTAGTTTAAAATATAAAATAAATAAATTATAAATCTAAATGAATTATAAAATAAATGTATAAAGGGCAGATATTATTGTTCATGTGTGAACAGTTATCATTCTTTATGTAACGTAGCGCAACTCGACGGCCGCCACTAGGCGATTAATTAAAAAATGTGTTGCATTCTTTATTCCATTATGTACGATTAAATTTGAATAGCAATGAAACATTTTAGCTGAAATAAAAGGTAATTAATTAATCAGAATAAAACATTTTTATCATTGGCAGTCAGGTTCCAGCGCTTGAGAAGGCACGACGCGATAGTGAAAGCTCTTAAAACGTAAAAGTTTAAAGATTAAAACCAACAATAATTTTTAAAAAAAGTGCAAACTAATTATAGTGAAACAAACAATTTTCATAGAGTTCAAACTAAAATGGTGTAACGGTCATTGAGGAGTGAAGTGTTAAGTGATATGAATGAGTTAAGTGCCACCTGTCATTGGACACTTTTCACTGGACAAGCAAAGGAGGTCAAACAAGAGGGGAGGTGGCCATCTGCAAAAAAATTGATAAGTTACCTTAAGAATATGCATGACCTAATACAAAATCTGCAATTTAAACACGGCAGATATCTTTGAAACGTAAGAAAGGCACACGGCGTAGGGCAATAAATCTGTCAACAACAAATGCGTAATGCAATCCCAAACGAAATCGATAATAAACACTAGACTCACAGAATAAACTAACACATTAATCATATAACCCTAACGCAATAAAAAAAGCCTAATAACCAAACTCTACTAGATTTGTAAACATTAGATAACAGAATAATTGCGCTTGTCATTTGTTTAACTAATAAATAAATGCAATACTTAATTTTGGAATTTAAGAAAAAAAGACAAAACTCTACCACAAAACGTGCTTACCCGTCTACATCACCAACATCCCCGCGACCTGTTAATGGGCAAAACCATTACCAAAAGAGTAAGAGTAGCCCAATTAAAATACTGGGCCCACGTCACTCGTAGGCAACGCAACAACATACTACAAGCCAGTGATGTAACCGATACATTTTTTGTATCTGGGTACAGATACCGATACATTTTCCCAAAAGTATCTGGGTACAGATACAGATACATTCAAAAAGTATCTAAGTTACTTCCAGATACTATGTTAAAAAAACTTAAAAATTAAATGATAAAAAAAAATTTTTGGACCTTATAAACAAGCGTGTTAACTATAAAATAAAACTGTTTTGATAAAATTGACGAAATATCCATGAAAAACGGAAATAAATTTTATATTTACGCGCCATATGAAAGCTTACTACAAAATTTGTAGTACAAATTCAAAATTATCAGAACGAAGAAAAATGCCTTCAAAGCCAACCAGGTTAATCTGATTAGGGTACGGGAGTCTATACACAGCACTACGGTTTTCGTATTGTTCATCTCTTACGGGAGATATCAAGAATATCCAATGTAGGTATTGTACGGGTTTCGAAAATTTATACGTGTTACATTTATTTATTTTAAAGTTAAAATTTTGTATTTTCCAAATTGGGGTGTAAACCCGAGGTAAAAGGAATGATAAAACGGCCGTAGAGGTAAAGAAATTACAAAGTTTCGTGGAAGACAGGAATTTTGCCTGAGATGGGAAAAAATCTGTTGGCCAGATGAGGCGAAAACAAGATCAAAACTGGTAGAGGGGAGCAAAGAAAGGGGCAGAAAGTTTTCCGAAGTGTGAGAGAACGCATCGTTTTCGTGAATCTTTGCTAAAACCATAATTATTGTAAAATTCTGTGTAAACAATTGTTACGAGTGTTTGTGTATTCTCCCAGGTTAGTTCTTAATTTTAGTAGCCCCATTATGTAGTAAAGTCCACTAAACGTAGAACGATTTTGATTTAAATAACCTGAGCATTAGTTATTTTGCACTACTACGTTTAGTGAATTTTACTCGATATTAACACCTTTTGTTTTAGCTATTTTTATAGAATGTTTTACCTTTTAAGTTTACTGCTAAATGTAAAAATTTATATTCCTTTTTTTTATTGTCTTAGGCTTAATTTAGTTGTATACTACTCAAATGTTTAGACCCTCCCTCAACACGATTATGCATTTTTTTTGCGGTAATTTTAAAACAAATATCAGTGTAATACAGGACGTTTCGTTGCTTAAAAGAGAGTATTGACCGTTAATTTTAAACTTTGAATGCTTCTTTTTCTTAGTACGTAGTTTGCAGTAGATAAAATACTCTCCCCCGTGAGGGATAACTGGTCACCTAGGTTCTCTAGGTGGCATCGCAACTTTTATCCCGAAACTGCGAGTTGTTTCCAGTGCGGACCTCGTTCTCCACAGGGCAACGTTAACGTTGACAGACTAACAGTTAACTGCCCTGTTAAACTAACAAAGATTTTCCTATTTTTTTGAACCCGTAGGGGTAGATAGTGTAACGAGCGTCGTGTCATTCCATTTGATTTGCATAAACTTTTAAAGAAACCATGCCTAATCGTGTAATCCTTTGCTACTTCATAGCCGAACAGGGTTTTTTCTCAAGCTCTTTTTCCCTGGTCGTATCTCCCTAAGAGCCACCCCTTGTGTTTTTTCTTTTGTTTGTAAAGTAAATTAAATTGGGGTAAACTAAACACTGTATTTTATTTTTTGTATACCCAAGTCTCCCAAGTATGATTCTTAAAGCAATGTATTCAATAAAACACGTAAGTAAACACAACGTAGATGTCCAAATTTTGGTAAGACGATCACGAGCCATAGTCACAAAATAGTGCATTTATTAATTTTTCATAAAACTTGTTTTAACGAACCTGGTGTAAGGAGAAATCTTTACAGTATATATCCTGGATATCCATAGAGTATATCCATTGGATGTTCATTTTCCGTGTGGCCCACACGGTGTGGAGTTGCAATCAGGTTGGGTAAAATAAAATGTATCTTGTATCTAAGGATCTAGATACTAAAGTAGATCCTGATTTTTTTAAGTATCTCGATACGTATCTAGGTACATAAAATGTATCTAGATCCAGTATCTAGATACATGTATCTCGATACATTACATCACTGCTACAAGCCACCCTTAAACTAGACCTTACAGACAGAAAAGTCGGGAGACCATGCTTCACATATCATGACACGTTAGCACAAAACATGCACTTCTCATAAATTAACAAGACCAGTTGGGAGCAACTAAGCAACAATAAAAAAAATAAAAACAACTGACACACTTTACCAAGTGCAGGAACTATCTGACCAGGACACGGACAATGACAATAACGAACAAGACAAAGACCTCGACTAGGAAACTACACTCCTGCAGCGAAATAACAACTCCCCAACTCCATAGTAATCCCAAATGTTTGGAGTAATACTAATCGACTGGTCTAGGGGGATTCCGCGTCGTACTTAGTTTTAAGTCGGCGTAATTGTCCCCCAAAAACCAACACCCTCCCGTCCCTCCTCCTATACCCTACTGGGCGAACCCGAGAATGGCTATTAAAACTATTCGCATCTCGCTCTCGAGCCGCAAATAGGGGACAGTACGGAACGCAATGGATATTCGCACCCAGCAAACACGGGTGATGCCGTGCAGTTGCTGGGGGCGAACAAAAATCGGCGTAAGTAAACATAGGCCAGTACGGGGTCCGAGAGTGATGATGAAATGGGGCTGGTTATACGTCTCTTATACTCATACTCATACGCATTTATTTGTTTTATTTAGTTATCTTATCAGTAAATAAAATCTTAAATAAGTAGTTTTAATAATGCTGAATATAGTAGTTGTAAAATTTATATATTATGTCCATTTTACTTGATTCCACTCAAGAAACTAGGAAAAAAAGAGTAACCAGGAAAACTTGGTTGGGTTATGAGTTAACTTTTTTTCAGGATGGTATTGTTAGTTACTTAATACCTTCATTGAGCGCTTGTATATTGTACATATTTATGTTAGCGTGTGACAATTTTTCGGCAGTATGTAGATAAAAAACCACTGCTAACGATTATTTTTATGTTTCTTCCAACTTTTGGAAGTTACATAGTAATTATTTCTGATTGGAACTTATGGCCGGAATATAAAAACTTTGGAATAATTAATGTTAAATGGTTTATAACAAAGACTCTAGAACATATTTTCTTTCCATTGCGGCAATTATGGAGGTTAGTATTTTTACACGTTTATGCTTTGAAACATTATAACACTATAAATATTATTTTTAGGCACGGAGAACGATTATTTTGGTCCATAGATGCTATAATTTGTAATGATGATGTTACTAGAGCCGAATCCATGGAAAATGTATGTATATTTGCAAGAAGCACTGCAGTGCACTGCCACAAGTTATGTTAAAATTAGGTATATATTTTAATGAGACAGAATTAAAATATTAGTAAACAAACAGGTAATACTACTAATATGGCAAAACATTTTTAATTCCAGGTTATATAATATTATTAAAAAAGGGCCTTGCAATTTCATATGTTTTTTATCATTGTAATTTACTGAAAAATACAGGGTGTCCAACAAAAAAATATTTAGGGACTACTTCTTGAGAAATTCTGAAATTTTGTCTTTATTAACTTCCAATATTCAGAGAATTTTCTCAACAGTTCTCAAGATCATACGCCCTTGGGCAGGGTAAGGCAAAAGGTCCTGGCACTAAAACATGTAGGAGGCCTAAAGGCATAAAAGAAAAATTTTAAGTTTTTTATTTTTCCATAGGGTTCGAAGCCCCCTTTAAATCAAGGGCACCCTTAATCCAGGGCTGCTTTGATTAGCTTACTAACAAGTGGTTTATTATAGCTTATAGTCGCATCCACACTATATGCGTTTTCGGAAACATACATTGGGGTAATTTACCCGAGTGACAAAAATCACGTGACCATAACTCGAAGGTTACTTACTTTTTAAATTCTGGGAAATACAATTTAAAAACAAGAATGATATAATATGAACAATATATGTTTTATTTATTTAATTTATTCATAAATACGACTAGTTACGAAAATCATAGTACAAGGACAAAATCATAATTAAACCGTTGAGTGACGATTAAACCTTAGGCGTTTTCGGAAACATAGCTACTCGGTACTTGGCTTTTGTTTACTTTCCCGATCACTTTGACTTTTGTTCGTAAACTTGACGCGCGAATTTTAAAATTTATATATATATATATGGGTCGGCGTCATCATCTAGGAGGAAGGCAGGCTTTACTCGGTCCACACGAACGTCGGAACCTTCGTATTGGATGGTGACGGTTTTGGCATCTCTACGTTTGATTTTATAGGCACCGCTGTATGGGAGCTGCAAGGACCTTCGCACGGTGTCATCACGCAGAAAAACGTGGGAACATGTTGTAAGATCCTGGAAGACAAAAATTTTAGGGATAGCATGATGAGAGGCGGGTACAGGGCGGATTTCAGACATGCGCTGTCTCAGGCGTAGAACATAGCTGGCAGCATCCTCTTGACGTTGGGGTCCGACAGGGCTAGCCAACAATTCGCCGGGCAAGCGAAGTGGCTGGCTGTAGACAAGTTCAGCTGGAGAAGCGTGTAGGACTTCTTTAAAGGCACTGCGGAGTCCAAGCAACACTATTGGAAGAGCTTCAAGCCAAGATGCGCCGGGGTGGCACATGAGCGCTGCCTTGAGCTGACGGTGAAATCGTTCAAAGAGGCCATTGGCGCTGGGATGGTAACTGCAGATGCGAGATCGTTCGATGCCAAAAACAACATTGAGAGCTCGGAACAGGGCAGATTCGAATTGGCGGCCTTGATCGGAAGTGATGTGTGCTGGAGAGTCAAAACGGAAATTCAACACATGACTAGAGCTTCCGCGACTTCTTCGGCAGTGATGGTTTGAAGAGGGTAGACTTCGGGCCATGTGGTGTACCTATCTACCGCAGTGAGACAGTATCGGCTGGAGGAAGGGGTCCAATAATGTCAATATGCACGTGCTCAAATCTGGAAGAGGGCAGGTCAAATTTTCCTAGCGGTGCATGTGTGTGCCGTGAAACTTTGGCACGCTGGCAGTGTTGGCAAGCACGAGCCCAGGTACGGCAGTCCTGCTGTACACGTGGCCAAACGAAGCACTGGGAGACAAGTTTTGCCGATGTTCTGGCAGCAGGATGGCTGAGGTTGTGCAGAGATTCAAACACTGGGCGCCGCACGTAAGGCAAAATGATGTATTTACGGCGTCAAAAATATTTATGATAGGCAAATGTCCAAACAGTGTTTTCCTTAGCTACTTTTATTGTTTTTATATAAAAACAATAAAAGTAGCCAAGGAAAACACTGGAAAACACCACAAACCAACTTAAATAGATATATCTATTTAAGTCGGTTTTAAGCCATTTTTTTATATAAAGTAGAGTACAGAATATTTTGACTAATTCTATATCGAAATTAACGTGCATAAAACAAAATAAAAATAAGTTGCTATATATACAGTGTGACCCATTTGTTTGCGACTCACCCCTTTAAAATCTTTGTTTATTGTGCGATTTTAACCGGATTTGTTTTTAAGTGTATATTTTGATAAAATGTATTTTTTGAGCAATAGATGCCATATTAGTACAAAATACAAGACCTACTACTATGTCAGTTTTTAAGAGTAGATTTTTAAGAATTTATATTAGCTATTTTTTTAAACAAAATCTAAGTACGGCACTGGATTTACCACCCCTTAAAACGACCCTTTACTAAATTTTATTGAAAAATTTTAAGTAGAAAAATGCACAATAATAACTACAAATATTTATTCTGTCAAGTTATCCATGAAAAAACATTGAAATAAAATTAAACTTATAGTAATAGTACCATGTTTTTCAATAAAATTTAGTATAGGGTCGTTTTGAGGGGTGGAGAATCCAGTGCCGTGCTTAGATTTTGTTTAAAAAAATCGCTAATATGAATTCTTAAAAATTTACTCTTAAAAACTGACATAGTAGGCCTTGTATTTTGTAAAAATATGGCATTTTTTTGCTTCAAAAATACAGTTTATCAAATACACTATACAATCCGGCACAATAAATAAAGATTTTACAGGGGTGAGTCGCAAACAAATGGGTCACACTGTATATATTTATATATATATATATATATATATATATATATATATATATATATATATATATATATATATATATATATATATATATTTATATATATATATATATATATATATATATATATATATATATATTTATATATATATATATTTATATATATATATATATATATATATATATATATATATATATTTATATATATATATATATATTTATATATATATTTATATATATATATATATATATATATATATATGCAAAACGGCTAATACACTTCCAAAATAGATACTTTTGTAAAGAACGCGCCTCCGAAATCGGAGCTGCATTCTAAAAATCGATGGCCATATGGGTAGCAGCTAGGAGGTAAATTGGACGGATACTCATACAGAAACACAATCCGATTCACCGTTCTTACGATGAGGGCGCCACTGTTTTATACAGATGTTTACAAAATTAAGTATACCAGTTGATATACCTCCGAACATTTTGTATTAACCTAAATTTGGCAAAAGGGTACGTAAATGTATCTTATTTTAAAAAAATTATATTTTTAATACGTTAATGAAATAATGGGTTTAAACATTAAAGTCTGTAACTGCTCAAAATGTATTCATATACCTAATCGTTTATAACACTCGTAAAAACGTTCTCCTTTTAGGACTATATATAGTTCTTCTCTTGTGATACACTTGTTAGCTCCACAACTTAAAAATAAAGACGAAAACACTTAAATGTGGAAGTATGTGGAAAAAAAAATTTCTCGTAAAACCAATATTGCAAAACTTTATCAAGTTTAATAATAAACTAAACAATGCAAATTTTACTCTGTTTAGATAACACTGTGCGACAATTTTCGGGTCATCGAAATCAAACCGAACCGGACCATTTTTTTCTGAAAATATACCTATCCAATAGCAAAACCCTCGCTGGGTTTGTAAAAGTTAGCTCGAATTTTTTTATGGCCTTTGTATTTTCGAGCTTCATATACCCCAATTTAGACCTATAAATCGATTTTTTTCACATATATTTTTATATAAACTTTTAAATAATTTTATTAATTGCCCAGATTTGTTAGAGCAAATAAACTTTATTGTTCCTTTAAAAAATACAAGGCAACAACAATTATTTTATATAAAGACCCATAGGACTACGTATGGTAAATTTATGCCCTTAAGTAGAATCTGTTCCGAAGCAAATGATCTAAATTTAGATTTTTTCAATTGTACTCTGACGTTCTTTAAAAATAAATTAAAAATATGTAATCTAACTTATAAGTAAGCAATACATGATTTATTGTAAATTGTAATATGTATATGGCTATCCGTTAATAAAGTTATTATTATTATTATTATATCGTCAAGATTTTTTGTAGAAATGTAGTTACTGCACAAATAAACCCATTTTGTGAACAACCTTTATCCCAAAAATCCAATTTTTTGGACCAAATATTCGAAAAATTAATTTTTAAAAAATATTTAAAATGGAATTCTCCAGTGATGAATCAAAAAATGAAAATGAAGAACAAGAATAATAAGGGAGCAGAAGTGGAAGGTATGGAATTCTCCAGCAATGAATCAGATTACTCAATGTTTTGATATAAAAAAGTTTTTTAATAATAAAATTTATACAAAATAAAAAATCAAACTCTCTGTACTTTTCTACAATTCTATTTTATCTTTTCAATTTTTTTCCTACAGATTTTCCAAAGATTTCGGCAAAAAATTTGGTGTTGATTATGAAAAGATGAATATTTTGGAAAATCTTGTTTAAAAATTGTTTTCCAGCAAATAAGTAAACTTAAAGTTCAGTTTTGTGTGCGTATTTTATAAATTACTTCTTTTAGTATACTTTACAACATTTTTGCCAGAAGAAGTAGCAAGAAATTTTAAATATTATCAAAAAATTTAAAAAAAAAAAAATATTTTTCGAATATTTGGTCCCAAAAATTAGGTTTTGGGATATAGGTTGTTCACAGAATGGGTTTATTTGTTCAGTAACTACATTTCTACAAAAAATCTTGACGATATAAATCGAATATATGCGAAAAAAATCGATTAATAAGTCTAAATTGGGGTATTATAAACCATAATAATAATATAATATGAAGCTAGAAAATACAAACGGCCATAAAAAAATAAATCGAGCTAACTTTTACAAACCCAGCGAGGGTTTTGCTATTGGAT